GGGGCAGGGGGAGCTGGAGGGGGGCACTGTACCAAGTAATTAAAAAATGTGACCCAGTCTTTCGAAATCATATCAACCACATTGATATTGACCAGTGCCAGCTTGCCCATAGGCGAGGCGCTTAGGCCCACTAATATATATATATATATATGTATATATATATATATATATGTATATATATGTATTTTCCCCAAGACACAGTAGACTGTAGTATTCTGTTGTATATGTACAATTTTATTTACATCTGAAAAACTCGTCTCACGTACACGTCTCTCTATCTGTTTGGTATAATGCATAAATTGTTCGTGAACTATTGATTGCCATATATACACGAATGGCTTGCTCCATCGACACGACAACATTGACGCAATTCTCTAACGGTAGCACGTTGTCGACGTTCCGCTATGTATAAACATGTTCTGTTACACTGTACATGAATTAACAGTCCAGAAGGCAGAGAGTTAAATATTGATATTTACATTCATGCATCCATCACCGCTCTCATATACAGTAGGTACAAGTCGGGGGGCGGGGGGCGGGGAGGGTACACTGTTAGCTAATAACGCCTGTGTGTGTTGAACTGCAGGTGTTTACTCGTCCACATGTCCACAGGTGAGCAGAATATCTGACTGAGGACAACGGAGTGAACAACCCCACTGACTGGACAATACTGACAGACAGACAGACAGACAGGCAGACAAACAGACAGAGAGGTAGACAGTCAGACAGACAAACAGACAGACAGAGGGACAGGCAGACAGACACGCCGACAGACAGACATACAGACAGAGAGACTGATAGACAGGTAGACATATAGACAGATAGACATACAGACAGACAGACAGACAGACATTCAGACAGACAGACATACAGACATTCAGACAGACAGACAGACAGACAGACCAAATGTCCAGACAGACACAGATTCTCTGTCGACTGATGCTCCAGCTCACTTTTGTTTTTCTTTCAGGCAGAGACCTGGAGGACGTCGGTGGAGGACAGCAGTGACTAACACCCTGCTCTGCTCAGGCCGTCCTCAGCCTGTGTAACCTGATCCCTGGCTGTCGGTTCAGTCTCCTGTCTCTCACCAGTAACAGGGTCAGCCCGGGGTCCGTGTCCCCTGTCCCTGCAGTGATGGACCGAACCCTTCTTGACAGAACGGAGACAAGTGAAGATTGTCAACCCCTTCTGAAGGCATCTGGCCGGGACTCGGCTGACCTGTGACGGCACACGGAACGTGATGGGAGACGGGGTCGTCTTGACATGAACCAGAGACGGAGGCTGGCGTACGACGGAGCACAGAAATAACACACATCCACACAGGGGGAAACAAACCACCAGAGACAAAACAGTTGCACACGGCAAAACTCTGCAGAGCAAGCAAGTTTTCTGCATCAGCGTCAAACCGACAAACAAACCGACAGCAGGCTCTTAGCACTGGAGCGTCGCAAACTACACACCCCCGGTTTATGTTAGTACATTTCCTAAAAAGTCCAAATCAAAATCCCTCCTTTGGTAATTCATATTAATCCACATTTAGGAAGAAAAATGCAAAAAAAAATGACTTTGTTAAATGATGTTAATTAATCATTTTAGAGTAACGGCTCCAACACTCTCCAAAACAACTAGGGCAAAGGAGAGCACAGTACTCACCCATCTCTCTCTCTCTCTCTCTCTCTCTCTCTCTCTTATCTCCGTTCTTTCTTGCTCTCTTCTTCCCCTTTGTCTCTCTCTGCCTCTCTCTGTCTCTCTCTCACAGTCTAGAGTTGATTATGTATTTTTAAAAATATTCAGGAAGTCATGAGACATTTCTGCGTTAGGGTCGATGGAGGAAACTGCTGCTGCATGACCTCTGACCTCGGCGGCAGTGCTGCATTAGAAACCACCATTATCCAGTACCAGGAGGCACATAATCACATGGCTGTGGGACTGATTTGTGAAGACATTTACACCTAACACACCACAGGGGAAGTCATATTTCAACGTTGCGCAGGAACGCAGTAAAATTCTACAGGCTTAAGCTAATTTGGTTAAAATTTGTCACAAAATGTCTTGTGTTAATGTCATTTTCACTTTCAACGTCCCAACAGTTATTTTCCAATAATATCAGTACTGGTTGCCGGTTCCAACCCCAGTCTTTCTGTATGGAGCTTGAATGTTCTTCCTGTTTCTGCCTTGGTTGTCGCTACACATGGCCCTACATTGGACTAGCTAACTGCCCACAGTGTGCCCCGCCCTCACCTGTTGACCCCTGGAATTAAAGAGTTACCCCATGATTGCCCTACTAGTTTTGGAGTCTGCCGGAGGCAAACATTTGTAAAAAAAATAAAAAATAAAATAAAAATGTTTAACACATTAAGAGTGCATCACTAAATGTAGTATTTTATTGCATTTTTTTTAAAGTGTACTAACTTGGGGGGGGGGGTGTACGATTATGTTTTAAAATCTATTCAGTTATAAAACAGTGCTTTTAGGAAACAATGAAATTCATCCAGAAGTCTTCGTTTTTTTTCATGATGCAAAACGGTAACTCACAAGACAAGTCTTCTTCTTCCGTTTAAGTAGAAAAATAAATTCAAATGTTGGTAAATAAACACAGCAAATAAATGGATGAAAGACTGAAGTATATTACAGTGAGTCTTTAGTGGCATTTTTTGGCATGGTAAAATAACAAGAAGTCGCCGTTCGATGTAGTTGCTTCTCTTTTAACACCCCCCCCCCCCCCTTTTTTTTTTCAAATATGAATTTCTCTAAATTGCATAGTCAGATGAATCCACGACTCAGCTCCAGGACCAACGGTAACGTTGCGGCTCTCACGAAGCCTCCGTGGAGAACTGAAGGACGAACAGTGTGATGAGTGGAATATAAAAAAATTTGCATTCTCTGTTAAAAACGGCATGCATGTTACTTTGAGTGTGTGTGTGTATGAGTGTGTGTGTCAGGTCATGTCCTGTGGGGACCCCCCCATGAGACTGCGGAGCCGCTGCATTGTCTGTTGCTCCGTTGCAGATGTCAACAGTGTGTGAGGTCTGGATCTGCGGCGGACTGGCAGACAGCTCCTCTCCAGCCAGCGGCCAACCAGCCTGTCAGCAACACTTGTTGTTATTCAGAGTATAATGTTCAGCCTGCTGTGCCACTGTGGACACCAGGGGGGGTTGTAGCTTTTTCGCTCCCCCCATTTTGGCCTTCATTTTTTTCCCCCATCCGTCGTTTACGGCTCCTCTTGAGCAGAATAGAGTCTTCAGTCCGGGCCACGTGCCAAGCCAAGAGGGAACGTATCGAGTCACTGGGGTAGGAAAATAAAATAAAACCCTGTTGCATTTTGGATGAGAAGCGATTGTTGCATCTGAAGTCACGTGAGAGATGGTAGTGATGATGTCACTTCCCGTGTCCACTAGGAGACAGTCTATACCACAGTGTTGTTGGTACCCATGGACTTCTTGTTGCGGATGCTCATGGCGTACTCCCCGCGGCTCGTCCCGTTCTCTTCTTTGCGTAGTGGTTTCCTGTGAATGAACAGATTCATAAAATGAGCTAGATTTTCTTGTTAAGACAAATTTGATGTCATACCCTCCTCCCCGGCCCCTCCTCCCCTCAGCCAAAGGCCATGTCATTAAACAGAGTTTCTAGACTGTTAACCTTTCGGCTGATTTGATTTCTCAGCCTGCTGTAGATGGAGACGCTGCTATCAGCCATACTTTCTAATAAGCCCGGCGTTCAAAGGTCATTTTCGCAGAGACGGGGGAGCGGGGGAGAAGGATGCTCCGCCACACGGGGGGATGAGGAGGCAATTACCCACTCTGATTGGTGGACACCATCTCCCTGCTAAATAATGAGTGTGCATCGCAAGACAACTTGGGAATAACAGTGATACGTAACCTCAACATTTGCTGTGCTGTAACACTGAGACGGGAGCAAATCTAAACTGAACACACACACGATCCTCCGCTGCTCCTCCTCCGCTGCTCCTCCTCCGCTGCTCCTCCTCTGCTGCCGGCCTTTGAGGAGCCGGATCATTCAATGCCACCGCTTTCATGCGCTCCTCTGTGCATTTCTGCTTATTATATTTGTCCAGTGTACTGTGGCTTCTGCGCCGACCCCCTCAGCCCCATCCTCTGCCCGGGTTTATATAACACAGAGACAGATTTGAATACAGTTAGTACAGTCATTGTCCTGCTCAAACACTGTACGCTGCCTTCACTGGCACACAGGAGCCTTGAGCGACATGTTAGCTTAGTGTCTCCTACCCACTGAAAGCCACGCTCCAGCACAGTTTGACATTCTGATTCAGACACAGAGGGAATCCTCTTTCAGGGGCAGGGGCAGCTTTGGCAGTTAGTGACATGGCGGAAATGTGGTCACAAATCCAATACCTTTTCCATCTTTGTTTTCATGAAAATAAATATATTAGAAAATTTTCATATTTAATGAAATATCATTTGACAAAAGAACACAAAACATGAAGTATTTGTGCATTTTTTCACTTTCAAAATTTGTCAAATGGACCAGATTGAACTCCATAGAGGACAATTTTTGGCCCCTGGGCCGTATGTTTGACACCCCTGATGTAACTGCTTCGGACAAGATGACTTGGTTGACTGAAAACTTAGAAACACTGTGCTGCTTATGTTAAAGTTTTTTTTTTTCATTTTTACCCATGATGCTTTTTTAACATTTTTTTGATACCAAAACATAACAAAGTGTCTTCTGGGGCTGTATTTATGTAGAATGTTTGAGGCTGACTTCATCTGCATGGGTTTGGAAATTACACCAGGACCGACAGACTTTATTTAATTTGTTTTTCTTTTACTTTGATTTTTTTTTCTGCCACTGCCTGTTATTTTGAGCTGCGCTGCGTCACCTCTGTCCCCCACCTCAATCAGAATGCTTCTTTAATATTCCTCTCAGCTTGACGTTCTACATAAAAAAAATCAAACTGTCACAAATAAAAAAGCTGAGATACGTCTTGTCAGTCACTTCTCAGCCTGCAGTCACCTCTGAAATCCCAGCCTGTCAGTCAACGTTAGGCTTTGATTCGCAGTAAATATCCTTCCTCTATTCCCGTGACCACGCCCCTTTGTGTACTTGACCACGCCCACTGTGATTACTCCACCTCTCCCACCTGTGTCTCGTTAACCTCTCTATCACTATATAAGATGCCCCCCCCCCCAACACTTCTGGTTTTCTGACCTGCGGTTCTGTCGTGCAGCGGTTCTCGACCCAACCCTAATGTGAGCTTCCTGTTTTGTTGATAGCGTTCAGTTATCTTGTCTGTAATTCAGCCGACTGTTTGGATGATTAGGAACTCTTTTAAACATCACTGGGGTCCTGTGTTGGAAACCAACCTTCAGAACATTTGACCGTGTTGTACAGGAGACACAGTATTGAATAAATTGTCAAATTTTTTTATAAATATCCCCCCGTTCAATTTTAGGACAATTGTAATCCACAAGTCGGAGAGTTTGCCCACACCTGTCCTAGATTATGATATGACTGATGTGTTAGCATGGGTGAGTGACAAAGGTACTTATGACTCTGTAGGCTGTAGGAACAGAATTCAGACGTAAGTCAGAAGGTTTGGTGGTAACCAGGAGTCCTCCTGCTCAGTGCTGTATATAATGAAGCTGAGGGTGATGCTAATTAAGGACGAGAGAAAAACAGTTCCAAACAAAACATTAGCCTGTGAGGGCGACGTCCACTGGGACTTCCTGCTCAGAGAGGTCATGATGAGCAGCTTCTGTCCATGTTGGACAGAGTTGCCGGCCGTGTCCCCGTGGGACCTGAGGTAAGCCTGAGAATGGAAACTGTCCAGCCCCAGGGTGGAGACACATTATACTGTGTGGGCGGTGGTCGACTGGTGCTACTGCAGATAAGGGAGTTGGGATATACCGAGGTTTCCTCTGTGGGGCAGATTACAGTGTTTACAGCCTGTCTGGGAATTCTCCTGTTCTGTGAGCGAGTGCAGTCAATAATCGTTCAGCATTACGCAACAGACCCGCAGTTCACCTGTTATTTTCATTTAAATAGCATCAATCTAACCATGTCAGAGTCTACTGTAAAGTGTGGTTCAACACCAGCTCAGTCCTCCACCCAGACTGACCGTGTCGCCTTCACACAGGGCCTCAAACCGTTCCTCCATCCAGACGTTCAATAATAGATGCCGTGCTGTTGACACATGGCAGGTGGCAACACAGGACTTCACAGGTTGGATGAATATTTTATATCAAAGCTGTGCAATCACAGCGCACACTCCTGTTTGAAGTTTGGGGGAATGGATGCCGGAGAAATTAGGACATGTGTCGAGCTGTTTATAATCACCGCTGCCATCTGGAAATTTGTCTTTAATACTATCTGCCGGCGAAAGAGGAGGGAGCGGGGGGGGTGCGGGGGAGTGGGGGAACGGCGCTGCTATCACCGTGGTAGCAATTTCCAAATAAAATAGAGCAGATTAATAATGTATCAGTCCGTTTTGGATTTCATTATGCCTGACAAATATTCTAATTTTGTCGCAGGTCTGGAGTATCTGGGTGTAAAGTATCTCCCTCTGACAGGACGGGCCGTGATGTATTGTCTGTCCAGAGAGACTCCCAGAGCGGCGCGTGACTCCAAAGAGGTATCAAGCTTCATCAGTCAATTAGTTTGAGTTTTTGTTTGTTTTGGCTGCTTGAAAGGCTGACAGCCTGGACTGCAGCATCATGGATTTTGCTGCACTGAAAAAACACCACCACCCCCCCCCCCCCCCCCCCCCCCCGCCCCCCGGGGCGGGCGCCCCGAATTTTATGTT